GTTTCAAAGAGAGAACTGTCACCACTATTTCCCGCACTCCTCTGGCTTGTTTTAGCATGTTTTTATTCAGGCTATGAATCTATTTTGATTCACTCTTCTGGTTGCATGGTAACCATTTTCTTTGGAAAATAAACCCACATATGCTCCCTGTTCAGACCAACCAGCAGACAAAAACATTTGCATAAAGCTGAAAAATTCAGCAAACACAGATTCCCTTAAGAGACGGTAGAGACCAAAATTCAGCTAAAAATGGAGATAACAGAGCCATGCTAATTTCTCCCGGCTAACATGTTTTCAACAATGACTTTGTAAGGTTACGAAATGGTAACAAATTATTCGACTGCTTTCAAAAGAAAGCATGTTTTTGTATGTGTTTTTTTTTCTGTTTTGTTTCCTCAACCAGAAGTGATCATATTTTGACAACACGATAGCATGCTACATTAGCAGCTAATGTTAGCAAGCTGCATCTTTAGATTGTAGATAGCTGTTTTAAAAATGATCTAAAAAGTACCACAAATAGCCAAGAGGTTTAGTTTATTTACTCACAACCACTCAAAGCAGCCATGCACCTAATAGTCCATAACTTCAAGATATACCACAATTTAAAAAAATGAATAAATGAATAAACTTAGTCTTCCATGCAGTTACAATGAAGGGGAAGATTAGCCATAGAGACCAAAACCATGCATGTTACATGTTTATTTCTATTGGAGTCCGCTTCAAGTGGCCAATTCAGAAACTTGTGCTAAATGTCTGAAAACGCACCAGTCTTGTTTTTTCTCTGCTTCAAAGGTTGCGAGAAGGGACAGCGGATTGGATACAAGTGTTACCTGGTGTACAACAGCCTGGAAGATTATGCCGGAGCATCCAGGAAGTGCATAGAACGTGGAGGACGCATGGCAATGCCCCGTGATCGAAAGGAGCAAGAGGCCCTGGCTGACTACGTAAAGAACTTCTTCCACCCTGGAAACTGGCCGGTCTGGCTGGGAGTCAACGACCTCCGCTCTGAGGGCTTGTACCTCTTTGACGATGGAACTCGGGTCACGTACTTCCAGTGGCGTAAGCACTTCCTGTCCAGCCAGCCAGATGGAGGGAGGCGAGAGAACTGCGTGGCGATGTCGTCAGATGATGGCGACTGGTGGGACCACTACTGCGATCGAACCATGAACTATATGTGCGAATTTGATGACAGGGTGGCTCTTTAAAAGGAACCTTTTCCAAACAGCCTCTCTTTATGACATTAAACACCAGCAGCTCATTAGAAAACAAAGCCCATTTCAATTTTCTAATAATTTATTTTCATTTAAAACTTTGTAGCTTTGTTTAAGTAGATTCTTGCTGAATGGAAATACTTTATAGTATTTAAACGTTTTTTTCTATTTCTATACAAGATGTGTACTGATTTAATAAGGCTTTATCAGACTTATGAATATTACATTATTCATGCAGCAGCAGTAATATGAGTTAAAGCCAGTCTGGACTCTGCTGTCCAGACTGGAATTCCATGGAATTCTAAATATTTGTCAAGTTTCCAAAAAAGAGAAAAATGGAACGCTGGAGTTTTTCTTTCAGGATCAGCACATACTCAACTTGAAGGGATGAATCAGTGTGTACTCTGGCTAAAGTGGAATTAAGCAGCATTTCTATGTTTCATGCTGAAGATGTTTTAACAAAGTCTAGTGCTGGGTGTGACTTCTGTTATTGCAGTCCCACCCCGAACCCTCTTTTACTTCCTTAAAATGACACATCACTGTGTGCAAATGTATCCTGAACCAGAGTCCATGCATAAAGAGAAAATAGAAAAGTAGTGTAGATAAAAGCCTGGATGTTTTTTTAAAAAAATCTTTACTAAAGGTTGATTATAGTTTGTTCAACATGTTCAACAGGTAAAAGGGAGATTTGCTTCACTCGTAAGGCGTGGTGCTTTTCTTTTTTTTTTAAAATAGTACTACTAAATCAGTGGACTAAAATGAGTTGAGCCTTATCTTGGTAGTGATTTTATCATCAAACTACTCATGGATCATAGATAATATGTTATAAAAATGTTTTTGCAGTAGTGTCATATCACTGTCTGATTTGTGGGTAATGATGTAATTCAAACTGTGTTACCTTTCACTGTCACTTGAGGTCACTAAAATCCAAACCTGTTAAATGCACCTTTAAAAGGTAAAATTTCTGAAACAAATCATCAGTCTTTGTTAACTTTAAATAATACAAATATATTGTTAAATTCTGTTTTAATTAAATCCACTACTTTATTTAAAATGCTGCATCGTCACGCTGACGCAACACAGAAGAGCAGATGTCTCTGCCTCGCGCTGGAACATCAGTCGCACCCCTTCATGATGTCATGAGTGTAAGGTGTGACGTCATGAACGCGAGCCAAAGAGCTGCGCTTGCTGTGAGGAGTCAGCGATGCGTTTAGCGACTTGTACCCCTGAGGCTGTGTTTGAATGAATTTCACAGCTTCTGCTTGTGAGCAGAGTTAGTGGACTGTCCTGCGGAGTCCACGGTCTGCAAGACGTCTTCCACGGTCGGCCTGTCCAGAGGGTTTTTAGATGGATGAGAGAGAAGTACCTTCCCTGCACTGTCCAGCAAAAAGTCACCTCCTAGCTGAAAAGACAAACACACATTATTCAATTATCACCACTCCTGAAGTTAAATCTGTAAAATTTGAAGGTCAGTCTGACTTTTTACGGTGGTTGTGGTAGTCCTGTCTGTTATGGAGTATTTAAAATTAATTTTCTAAAACAAAAGAGTCACCTGGGGATTTAAAGTAGCAATAATGTAAAAATAATGAACATGCTGCTCCATAAAATACCGCCTATATAAATAAATAACTGTTTAATCAGTAAAGTTGCATTAAAAGGACAATATGAATGTGTCACTGCCCCCAAGTGGTATAAAAACATATTGCAGTTTTAAACTGAACCCTGTGGAGTCCCATAAATAGCCCCTAATTACTTTTTCCTTTAAAGGAACCCCGACTGTTTCAGCTTAAACATTATAGTTTGTACTATACATGCCCTCTTCTTCCAAAGGACAAAACACAATAAATATGTTATTGTTTTCTGTGCAAATTATGACCTGCATTTATTCTGTCTGCATGTCTCACCTGATACATTTAACTGACCAAAAGACCTCCCAGGTGCTTCTGGTTTTAACCGACGACTAAGCAGTAGTAGTTGCTCTTATATAGTTTGTGAAAAGTGCTTTAAGAAACAGAAAATATTCTTCTGGTGTTCTGCAAGACAGGATTTTTCGCTGCCTTCCCAACCCTGATCACGGAGGTTTCGTGTTCTCTAAAAGGCTGATGCAGCTACACAGACAGATATAGACACGAGCCTGTAATTAGGGCCACATACAAAACCAAGAACATGAAAATGACCTGAAGCACAGAAGGACTTAATGATGGCACTGGATGTTTATCTCTAAAGTTATTGTTAGAAAAGAATCTGATCCATATCCTGACTTCTACAAACCGACACTCTCACCACCTCACCTCTGTCATCGTTTTAATTTTCACTTTTAAAGTAAAGTGTCCTCAGTTACATCATGGTCAGGTTTGAATAGAAGAAGCTGGAAAGAGCAGATTTATCTACCAAAGCAGTTAGATAGACTTCAACCAAAGAGACATCTACAGTGCTTTTGTTCAGTTTAATCATAAGCTGTCTCCATATAAGGTGGCTGAGTGCATCTGAGGGTGTTAGGGCTTTTTTTTTTCATTTTATTTCTATGCACACTGTTAATTATAATGTTCAACATTGATCTTATGCATACAAGATAAAAAAATATTAATCTCGCAGGACTTCAAGGACTCACCTTGGATTTTAATTTTGCTAATATCCAAGGGATAGAAGAAGGATGCGAGATACTCATGCATGTAAATCCATCCTTGGATAGATTTCTAGGATTTCTTCAATGTGTCATCACAAGAGTCTGGTCAAAGGCTTTCACAGACTTGCGCATTCTTACCTGGTAGATGTCTTCCAGCAGACGATGGGGGAAATCTGGGAAGTCTATGTTTGCAACTACGTATTCTGAGTATTGTAGCAGGCAGCCAAACTTCATCACCTTGGCGTAGGATGAGCCAAGGCCAAAACTTCTGTACACCTGTGCCAGAAAAGAGACATTTAAGAACACATGCGGTTTATACAGTCAGTAGCATGCATCAGCGTCGCATTTTTTGCGACTGAGGATTGCTTGTGTGGCATGTGGAAAATGTTCTGTTTTCATATTTGGTTGTTTCCACTTGACTACAGCTAACATCTGGTGGTTGACTTTTCAGAATAAATGGTTTGGAGGCTGAGGTCGCTGGGCTTTTATGACACATCATCAAACAGCTGCTAAATCCTCCGGGTCCCTCGGTTTGTTTGTACTGAGTCACAGCCAAATCTACTTTCTATAAATTACAGTGGCCTATTTAGATTTTATGCACCTCCCGACCAGC